TTGATTTATTGATTAGAGAGATTTGACAGAGATTCGTGCGGAACAGTTTTGAGAGATAACGCGTGAGCGGATTGCGTGCGTGAAATTGTATCACGAACATGTAATTAATTGCTCATTAAAAGTGCTCATTAAAGTTCCTTTTTTATAAACGGTCTCTATTTATTTACGCGTGTCGCGTGAGTGAAAGTTATGCGAGTGACCGCCGCGGAAGCGCGATATTTTTGGGAGCTCGTCCGGAATAGCGAACAATGGACATCGAGTCGAGAAGTGTTGAAAGCGCGACAATACATGTACTTATTATTGTATATATTTATTTATAGATAAATGATTTTCTTGAGATTCTTCGTTATATAGATGGTACATATCAAGAAACACGGGTGATGTCTCGATGCCAAGTTTATGCAGCGAAGTTCGCGTAGAACGGCGGCGAGACGCCCGTGGCTCTATTTACGCGAGACCCCGAGATGAACTCGGTCTATTTTCATATCTCAGCAGTGACTGCATCGATTAATTTTAACTACGCTTAATCGATAGCTGAGTATCAAATTATATAAGAAAAGTGTTTTTATTTTTTTTCTCCGTGTTCTACAAACTGAGATATCGCGACGCAATCATGACGCAAAGTTCAAATTGGTAAATTTAAGAAACGTCCTGGTCGTTGTCGACCGTGACTCTCCTTTTTCTATCGCAAGAGGCGCTAATAAACGTCTCTGTATGACAGCTCTTGCAGCGCTGATTTTTTTTATTTGATATGTCTTTGACAAATATCCTTCATGTTGTACATATTGATTAATAAAAAAGAAGATATACGTGTGTCACATATAATAGTAAGTAATATTGTAATATATAATACATTGAAGAAATAGAATAAGAAATAGAAATAGAAATAGAATTAAAATCAATTTTATTTTTTTTGTTTACGTCTTGAAGCTGAATAAACATATACATCAATAAACATAAACATAAATAAACATAAAACATACAAAAATTAAACACGGATCGAAAAAGAGTATTTGATAGAGTTATTAGCACTATTAAATTAAATAAATCAGTATTACGATTACATGTTAGCAGTAAAGATGATTAAAACTATTTTTAATATTAACATTGAATTATATGGCAAACAAATAGAAAACAGTTTGAACTAAAATTTAATATATTTTAAGATTTTTTATTTTTAAACTTATTTCTTTTTTAATATTAACTAAATAAAATTAGTGAAATATATAATTAATTATTAATTAATGAAACATTTTTTACATAAATAATCCAAGAAACTTAAGAATTTATTTTATTAGAATGTTAGAATATCCAGTATAAACGTATGTGTGTTTTAATATTTATTAATAAATTTTTTTTAATATTATATATTTACATATAATGTTAAAGAAAAATATATAAATAAAAATTATATAAAAAATTTATTTACAAATAATTTGAAAAATAATATATACATTATTAATGTAAAAAGATATCAGTAAGAGTGCACATAATACAATAAGTACGTATGTACGTGTTTTAATGCGACCCGGGCGCATATTTTTTACCTTTTTTAAAAGGTAATTTTATTATATTAATATACGTACATCTGTCCATAAAATCAAATTAATTTATGTGAATCGATATGATATGCCATTTATAACATTATAAGCGATATGCGATGCACAAGATGTTTTCTCGACGTTTTTATAGAACCACCCAGTGATAAAGTACACGATACACGTATCTTTAAATTATCTTTTATAAGCAGTATGTTACCAGAAATATGTGAAGATGATTGGCATATATTGGGTGATGCTGCCTATTCTCTTAGAAAATATCTTATTACTCCATATAAAGATTATGGAAATTTGACAGGAATACAAAAACAATTTAATTACAAGTTCTCTGTCGTGTAAAAATAGAAAATGCTTTTGGTCTACTAAAAAAAGCAAGATTTAGACAGTTAATTAGATTAGATTTTAATATGGTTAAACGTAGTTGTAAATTCATTATAGCATGTTATATTGCATAATTTATGCCTTCTTAATGGAGATGATCGAAATGACTTTTGTTGTAGCCAGATCTACAACTAATAATAAAAGTAGTCCGCATGGCAACAAAATTAATCCGCATGAAATTCGGAAAAAGTCTTTCGAAAGACGACACAAATGCGTGATCGCCAAAATTGCGATCAGTCTTTCGAAAGACCGCAGAAACGCATCGCGCGAGAATATTGCGAAAAGTCTATCAGCAAATTCCTAAATTTGTTGATCGAACCAGGCGTGATATTGATCAATCAATATCACGCGATCAATCGACGCAACTGATCAGAATGCTGATCGGGCATCGACCAGTCTATATAATCAACCCTACAAGGCAGAATCGAGAGAGTCAAGAATAACGCGTCGTTCGGAATCATTATTATAAACATCGCGCAAGATATTACAAAAGCGCGGCGAAGTTCACACGAGCCATACTATCAGCATCTCAGGTGACATACTCGGTCGTCGGCCGCCAGAGTAACGCGATACGCGCCGAGCCGCCCGCCGACGTTTAACCGTGTGTAAAAATAATAAAATAAGAAATACTAATCTCAAGAATTTGTGCATTTATTAAATAAACCAATTAAAATAAAGAAAATGTATTAGTGTATTCAAGAAGATCCTACATTCTTCTGATCCTGCTCGGAGTCCCAACTCCTTAGGCTTAACGAACCCGACTATCCTTAATATTATCGTTGTAGCCCATCCGGGGTACAACACTTTGTTGATGAAGTTAATATAATGATGAAGTTAATATAATTGCAAATATTCAATATGATTTTGAAGAAGTTTGATGGACGTTAATAGAAACGCAGGCGAAGAAAAGAGAAATTTACTATGTCAAGTATTATAATAATTTTATTATTTTTAATTTGTGTTTTATTTCTATCTTATGTTTTTTTATATGTGTTTGTTTATAAAACTACTATTATAAAAGAATTCGTATATAAGAAGAAATTGTACAAATATTGTTCGGTCGATCGAGCGGTGTTCCGGCGTTGCCTTCATATCGATTTCTACGTGAAGATCATTCTCTGCCAACGCGTTGTTGTTTATGAATATTGATTTGAGATTTGTGGGAGACCATTTGAGAGGTGACGCGCGAGCGAATTGCGAGCGTGAGATTGTATCACGAGCTGTGTAACTAGTTGTTGTGCTTATTGAAGTTCGTTATTTTGTAAACAGCCTCTATTTATTTACGCATGTTGCGTGAGTGGGTGTTGTGCGAGTGAGTGGAAACTCAACGCGACAATATAAAGATATAGTACATATAAGAGATAATATTTTTTTTTTTTAAGCAAGAGATTTAACAAAATTTTTATTATATTCTTAATACATTTTCATTCACATTTTTTATTTTTGTGAACAAACATAATATAATTCATCTTATTTTTGTTATTTTTACATTTTTATATAAGTAATGTATACGTCATAAAATGGTTAATTTTTAATTCTAAAAGAAATTAAAAAACATAAATAATTCAAATAATAAGCGCATTTTTTGTAAATAAAGAATTATATATTAAATATAATTTGGAACTACTTAAATATATAAGTATTTAATGTGCACATAAACATAAAGTTTTCACATTAAAAAAATTGCACTAGTGGCAAATCTGATTGCAAATAAATAATTAATAAGCACATATATTTTTACATAAACAAAAAATTATATATTAAATATAAATTTTGAGGTGATAAGTTTTAATGTACACATAAACGTTCATTTCTTGTATAAAAAATTGTACTATTATTACATAAGTGTAAATAAATAATAAGTGCATACATTTTTAGCAACAAAAAGTTATATAATGATAATGTTTTTTAGACATTCAAGTTTTTTTTAATATTTAATAATTTACTTTAATAATTTATAGTTAAATACTTATTTAAATTTAAAAAAATTCATATTTTTTTATGAAGATTTCATGAACATTTTTACTTTTCTTAAATGTTACAAAATAAACATCTTTGAACTCTTATTAACATTTTATTTATAAAATACACCATATATTGCAATACGTACATATTAAATATCATAATTTTTAGAGGTAATTGTACAATTATAAAATAATATTATTAATTGTTATTAATATTATCTTTTGCAAATAAGTTTTTTAATAATGCCATTTTTTCTTCATGCCTTTCTTATCTTTTAGCTTCCTTTTCTTTATGAATCTGTAGTAAAGTTTTAACTAAAGTTAAATTTCTGTTTGTATATTTCTTATTTCTTAGTATTACATATTTGTGAAGAAGCATTCTCTTTAGCATTAATCACAACTTTATTAGCACTCTGTAAAATTTCTGGTTCAACACTATCATCTATAACAGTAATTTTTTTATTTCATCTTCAAAACTTATTTTAATTCTTTTTGCACCAGAAATTGAGTTATTTTTAAGCATTATTAGCATTTTCTTTTGAGCATTGTTTTATAACGATTTTCACATTGAACATATGTTTTATTATGCCAAGATTTGCTTCTAAATCTTCCGCTATTTGTTGCCTTTTTATTTTTAAATTTTTTTATTGGCTCTACTAATTCTAAATTATTGGAATATTTATCTAATAGAAATGTCGTGCTTTCATCTGACCATTTGCTTTCATCAGAAGGTTGCTTTTCTCTTGATTTTTCTCTATGAATTGAAATCATCACTAGGCCATACATAACTGTCTTTAAGTAACTGATTCTATTCTATTCCATAATAATATCCAATTCACCTGTATTAATAAAATATATA